TAGTGGAAAACAGGTATGAATGATCTATTTATTATATGTAGCGTCAGCTAGAAACTTAAAAGTTCGGTAAAGATTAACTAATGGAAACCATAAAGACCTGCAAGCTTTAGGAAGAACTCCCCATTCATGGATTTATTTAATATTGAAACGAGGATCACCGCGCCAGCACCAACACAAACAGCACAAATAATTTTATTTAAATAATAGGTGTGCGTGATTAGTACGTGACTTATCGAAAATCTTCCGAATACGAGACGAGTTGTAAGCTTATTATCCTGTGAAGATCCAGGAAAGCTTATGAAGTCCAGCTTGGCTGTCGTGTTTGGCCTGTCAACACTTTATTTCAAATCGGACTAATCACAAACTGCGTAAGAAACTAGCCAATAAAAAACGCCTACATATGTCCTTGCAACTCTGTGGGATTCAAACACAATATTGTGCACTAATTCGCAGACGTTCTATACAGAAGGTTTAGAGTGTCTGCAACACAGGCTACAGTTTATCCCCATCTCAAAGATCCCAGCCGCTGTAAATCTCAAATCTTCTCAGATCTTCTCTTTTGTTGTACCCTTTCCGTCAAAACCCACCCCACCCCCCAAAAAATTCTCCCTACCTGTACAATCCCCAAATCGAATAGACAGTGACTTAACTGGCAACAAAAAAATTGTTTCATTGTGGCAAGCAGAGGGTGCAATTTGCAGGTCAGAATTTGTTTTGTGACACATTAGGTCACACCAGAAGTTCAGTGCTCAAATAGTACTTCCAAAAAAGTATGCTCCCAAAAGGACAAAATAAATAGAACATACCTCAAGAGAGCATTACACAAAATAAGTTTCATATCAGTTTAATACTGCAAAAAGATAAAAAAAAGCCCAGTTGACGTAACATTCAATGAAACCCATTTGGGATCGACACTATTGATAGGTGGCACATGGGAGGCAGGTCATTAACCACCAGAAATTTCAAAATCTGGTTTTTACCAGATTCATTCTTTTTTTGTGAAGCAAGAAGACAAAACAAAAAAACTGATCTCCAAATCCTGACTGCGCTTGAGATATATTTCTGAAGNCCCCCCCCCCCCCCCACCTATGACTTCCATCAACAAATGATGCCTTTTTCATATACCTTCTAACAATAAATCAGTCTTGTCAATTTTTAGCATCAAAAAAATTGAAATGATACAGCCATAAGAAGCGTTGGCTCGAATATTTTAACAAAAGGCCCTTTTAATTACCAATATATACTGACGAAATCCCTACCCATTTATAAACCTGGAGCCAGGAAATGATACCCCTTTTGGGTGGGGTCTCCCCGAATAGGCTATCCCACTAGGGTGGGTACAGTCGTTGTAGTAACCGCGCCTTTATAGTACACTTCACAAGATGGCCGTTTCCTTGTTAATCTGTTCACAAGACGTCGCGCATTGAAAGCAATGGAACGGAACAAATTAGTGGAAAACAGGTATGAATGATCTATTTATTATATATAGCGTCAGCTAGAAACTTAAAAGTTCGGTAACGATTAATTGATGGAAACTATAAAGTCCTGGAAGCTTTAGGAAGAACTCCCCATTCATGGATTTATGAATATTGAAACGAGGATCACCGCGCCAGCACCAACACAAACAGCACAAATAATTTTATTTATGCCTTTATAATAATAGCTATGCGTGATTAGTACGTAACTGATCGAAAATCTTCCGAACACGAGACGAGTTGTAAGCTTATTATCCTGAAGATCCAGGAAAGCTTATGAGGTAATGCTTGGCCGTCGTGTTTGGCCTGTCAACACTTTATTTCAAATCGGACTAATCACAAACTGCGTAAGAAACTAGCCAATAAAAAACGCCTACATATGTCCTTGCAACTCTGTGGGATTCAAACACAATATTGTGCACTAATTCGCAGACGTTCTATACAGAAGGTTTAGAGTGTCTGCAACACAGGCTACAGTTTATCCCCATCTCAAAGATCCCAGCCGCTGTAAATCTCAAATCTTCTCAGATCTTCTCTTTTGTTGTACCCTTTCCGTCAAAACCCACCCCACCCCCCAAAAAATTCTCCCTACCTGTACAATCCCCAAATCGAATAGACAGTGACTTAACTGGCAACAAAAAAATTGTTTCATTGTGGCAAGCAGAGGGTGAAATTTGCAGGTCAGAATTTGTTTTGTGACACATTAGGTCACACCAGAAGTTCAGTGCTCAAATAGTACTTCCAAAAAAGTATGCTCCCAAAAGGACAAAATAAATAGAACATACCTCAAGAGAGCATTACACAAAATAAGTTTCATATCAGTTTAATACTGCAAAAAGATAAAAAAAAAGCCCAGTTGATGTAACATTCAATGAAACCCATTTGGGATCGACACTATCGATAGGTGGCACATGGGAGGCAGGTCATTAACCACCAGAAATTTCAAAATCTGGTTTTTACCAGATTCATTATTTTTTTGTGAAGCAAGAAGACAAAACAAAAAAACTGATCTCCAAATCCTGACTGCACTTGAGATATATTTCTGAAGTATAGTGCAGTGTGGAGATTATGGCCTGTCAGAGAATTCAAAACTTACCTCCAGTCAAAACAGGGCTGTGAAATCTACTGTAATTCCCTGAACAAATAATTTTAAAAACCTTCTTTCTTGCCTCAAAAGGTCTGGGGCTAAAGAATCGATTCAAAGAACTGAGATCTGATATTTCCAGTTTTGCGAGACCCTGTTAAGACAACTGACATATGACATCACCAAAGGATCATTTTAATGTTTTGTTTAAGGGATTAGGTAGTCCGATGTCGGCCATGTACACCATGTAGGATGTTTAACTCTTTTTTTAAAAATTCTGACCTGCAACCTGCGACCTGCAAATTACACACTCCATGCGGCAAGTTACATCAAAGTGCTGCCAAAAAAATCATAAGATGAATACAAGTTTGGTGGTATTAGTGATATTTGGAAAACCTGGGGATGAAAATATTAGCCTTACTATATAACACAGAAAAGCTTAAAAGCTTATTTTATCTGTGAGATTATGTGCGACCTGTACAGAAGACTGGGACTTTCTCCTTTCCCCGCTAACAGGGGATAGTAGTTTGCATACAGGTGTCCTTATTGTCTTAGAGACAGTGGCAAGGCAGTTAGGCAGGGGTGGGAGGGAAGGACCATCTTTTAATGTTTCCTTCATTTAGGGCAAATTAATCATACTTTACTAGGTTAGAATGAATGAATGACTTTATTTAACTGTCATACTAACATAGCAGTAAAATAATTACCACAAACTAGAAACACTTCAGGTAAGAAGAAAAATGGCGGCTTGAGACCCACTGAATAGGTCGGGGGGGAATAACCGGACGTAATGAACAGTCCTTTGACCTGTTCTGTTCTGTCTGTTGGTTACTATATGTAGAAGGCTGCTCATTTTTCAGTACTATTACTGCACTGCATGCCTTGACCACTTCTCAACAAACCCTTAGCTTTTCAAAGTAATGGTAAGGCTCATTACCCTGAGGTATCTATAAAACTGATTGGGGTGTGAAAATGTCTTGGCTGTAATATTAACTTACATTACAGTTTACACTAAGTCTCTTACACAGATATTTTTTGTTTTTCGTGTCATCACACAATGCTCCTCCCTAAAGAGGCATGTTGCTTGAAGACATAACAAACGGTTGCATCGAATACTATTGGTCACTAAAAAAGACCGTTAAACATGATAAGTGAAGGAAGACTCTGCCATCTTGTGAGAAACACTAGTGCAATACACTGTGGGAAGACATCACAAACACCTTCTAAGTTAAGAATTTCTTAATTATTTTTTTACAGCCATGCACTTAATTGGAATATAGCATTGCTTTAGGTTATCTTTCATAAATTTCGCCTCTGAGGCTCCCCAGTCAAACCATTTGACCTTGCAAAGCCATGCAAAGTTTTATTGGTTTCATTGTTAATGCACACTTTTTTATAAAAACACTAAAATTTGTTACAAATTTCTTCAGAATCTGATAGAATTTTTCAAGAGGATTAATTGATGAATTGGTTTGTGCAGTTTAAATACAACATTAGTGCTTTTTTGTTAAAACCACATAGTCTTCACACATTTATCTCCAGACATCTTAATTTATTAACGCTACTTGCGTGTCATAGATGACATACCATTAACACAACAAATGACAACTGATTCTATAAATAGACACAAATTATAGGTAACCATGAAGTACTGGTAATATTATAAGATTGAGAATTAAATGTAAAAAACACGTATCCTTTATTCAGGTAAAGATACGTTGTTTAACTTTGTGGTAAGTGAAGAAAATATTAACTATTTGGGGGCACATGTATGGCCTCGCTGTAAAAGAGCAACATTGCTGTTATTGTTTATTACCAATTACTTCCGCAACTGATGTAACTTTTTATTAATGACTAGATGTACGTGGCTTAGATTGATATTTTAAATGCAATTTTAAATGCCTTTTTTTAGCTGTTTTCTCAATTTCTCATCACGCATCGCGTGGTATAATACGGTACCATCTTGGGTAAAACTGACATGTAAAAAGCGACATATGCGCACGGTGTCATCTATACTATTCTTATCGTTCAGATTCTTTAAAAATAATTTCTTTGTTCCCTGCACCCAACTGCGGACAAGCAAAGGGGTCTTTTTGCAGCATAAAAATACTTAACCATCAGAGTGATATTTTCGAGTATATGAAGAATAAAATGTACCACCCCTACTGTGACTGTAATTTGGTGTAACTGAATTGATCTCTTCAGAGAGCGGGGGTTTATTTTTTGAAATGTTTTAGACTTGTACGTGTATTACATAGAAGTATTAGTCTTACCAGATATCTGAAAGCTATTTTCAGGGAAGCACCTTGGGTTATAATAATGTATTGTTGATTGGCAGCCTTTTTTGATGTTATTCCTAAGCCCCATAATTGACTGCTCAGTAAGTTAGCATCCATAACCTTTTACCCTTTTATGAGTAATCTTTTGTTCATTTCGGAAGCCTATTTCTTCAAAGTCGGAAAATATGAAAAACTGAACGGCCTGGAAACGCTTGTATTGAGCATGGACTGCTTAAACATCTTTCTCATCGCCAAATCCCTCGCCATCTTTTTTATCTTGGCCATTTCTCGTTCCCTTCTCTCCTTTTCTTCCTGTTCTTTTTTCAGCCTTTCTTTCTCCAACCTTTCTTGCTCTTTTCTCTTCTGTTCCTCCTCGTATTCCTTCCGTACTTTTTTGATCTCATCCTCAACAAGCAACATGGCTCTTTTCTTGGCTTTTACCTGTTCGTCATTTAGTTGCGCGCGCAATCTATTTTCGAACTCTTCCTTTGCCCTGAGCGAGCGGGTCAGATTTTTAGCAGCTTGTGTTAACTCTAACTCGTACAGCTCGACAATTATCTTTTGCACTTCTTCAGCCCGTTCGAGTCTTCTCACTTCGTACTGCAACAAATTAGCTACCTTAGCCTTTCCGTTTACAGTCTTCAACACGGCCGCTAGACTCTGCTTCCTTCTCGCGCGTGCACGATCCAAGTCAGCTTGAATTTTTCGAAGCAAACCTAGTTCTGTGGAATGCGCGCGACTTCTGTCGTACTCGTACTCTTTCTTTCCCTCTTTTATCCTCTGCGCGCGTTCTTGCAATATCTTAGCCTGCTGTATCTCTGCTTTCTCTTCCAGTTTATCAATAGATGCTTTATCAGCTTCGATGCGGGATGCGATGAGTTGCGACCGTGCATCATCTATCACAACTTTGAACTTTTTTCTTATTTCGTTCTTTTTCGCGGCAGCTTGCCTGCGTACTCTTCTGAGTTCTTTCGTCAACGCTGCTTTTGCTTTCTGGCGAATTTCTGTTTCACAGCTCATAAATCGTTTTTTTTCTTCCCCCTCTGTTCCGCCATTAAGCTGTTCACGCTGTTCATCGAATTCAGCGATTCCTTCGTCATGATCTCCTTGAAGCGCCATTTCCTCTAGGTCGCTGTCTATGTCCGGGCTGAATGGACTACTGCCGCTTGTTACCAGAGAAAATGTTTCTGATGCAGTCATGCTTTTTCTTCTGTTCACGTCTTCCTCGATTCTTGGTAAAACCACGCGATTCATGTTGTTTGAGGAACTTGCATCGCTGGTAGTAAATCTCACGTTGTTTTCTTCCATTTTCAGGACGTAAGAGGAAAAAGCCTCAAGAATGCACAGTCCATGAACTGAACTGTTTCTCATTAATTGAGGTCGTTCAAGAAACTAGTTTTTTATTGTTTTAGGTGATGACGCTATTAGACACACCATATCTTTTCTATCATCTCAAACGGTGGTAATTAATTCTTTTTTCCTCGCTTATCGCCTTATATCTCGTCCATGTAGTTTCTTTCGTCCTCCTTCCGTTATCGATTGATCAAAGTTGATTGAATCATACTGATTACGACCAATACAGCACTTCCCGCGCTTGGTGCAAAAACGGCAAGGTGACCGTGAGTCAGACTAAAGACAGGAAGGTACCTTAATTGATAAGGAAGTTGTTGAAACGCTTCGGGCAGGCGAAAATTTTATAGCGAAATTGTGTCGGTCAAGTTTTTTTGCTATATGTCTTCCGTGCGTTAAATCAATTATTCATGGTGTAGAATTGTCATTTTCTCACCTTACAAACGCGTTACAAAAAACAGCGATCATTGAAGATGAAATTATAAAACTTGGAATGCGTCTTATCCATATTCATAGACAAATAACTCTCCTCTCTATCGCTTCTCCATACCAACAAAAGTGTATCTCACCCAATAGTAGCATAATAAACGAAGAGTATAAGACAAAAACCATTATTTAATTTGTCAGATAAACGAAGTTTTTCTTCACAAATGTGAACTTCGGATGAAGCAAGTGAATGACAAATGCACTCCTCGCATTTTCGTGAATAACCTGAGCAGATGAAGAGATTATGGAAAGTTGAGGCTTGACCAAGATTTGAACCCTAACCTTGGCGATCACTGGACACAACACTTCATCCAAATTAGCTCCAGTGGAAGTTGAGCCATTCACCAGATGTAAAGACGAGGTCATTGAAGAGTTCTTACATACCCAATGAGGGTGAAGAATTTAATGGGAGTTTGTGAAATAAATCATAATACGACCTACCGCCGATAAAGCAAGTGATTAAAAATGTGATCCCCGCAGCTTTGTTTTTCAAACGGAGTGGTGCAAGGCAAGCCGATGGTTCAGCTGTTTCCCCATCTTTTCAATAAAACACCTTAATTATTTTCCACTGCGAGCTTCTGCACACACTCCCGCCACTTTGTTTTTAAAGATAAAATAATAACATTCTTTGCGATGATGCTATGTCAAACAGTTTATTTATCAAAATTCGTGGAACATGAACTTGAACAAGAATGTGGATTTTCAAGAGACTCAAACACAGTCCGCACACAAAATTTTTGTTTTTCGCTTATTGTTGTGCCCTCATTTTCTACTTTATCACATAATGGCTACTAATCTCACAACTTTTAGAAAAAAAAAACGTTTTTGACCTAGTTCTCTCTGGAAATCAAAGTATAATTTTCGTATTTAATTGGACACCGAACGCTCGAGCGCACGGATCTCGAACCCGAGACCCACAGGGGCAGGTCACGTACAGCGCCCTTAACACTCGGTCGTGTAACCTTGGTAACGTGCGATCCGTCGTCCTTTTTCTATTTCCGGGGAAGCGCGCAAAAAAGGAAGAAGGACTGTCTGATCGCAGACTATCGCTACTTTGTTAAACTGAATTTCATGCTTAAATGATTGAAATTTGCTTGCATGATACGTTTACATTTGCTCTCTGAGTGCGAAGTTTGTCATTTTGATTAGGCAAAATGGGCTTTGCCGCTCGTCTGGTTTGTCTCGCTCGCGGAATTTTCTCTCATTTAAAGAAAACTGAAAAACAGTCTATTGTTGAGGAATTTTTCACTTGTGACCAAGAAATGACGCCTGTCTAGTTCATTAATTCTTCCATCCTTCTTGTCGATTATCTGATTTCAGTTATGCTTATTACAATTCAGTCAAAACTCTACTGAGAAATTTGATTTTATTGAAATCCCTCCAAATACATTTTTTATATAGTAGAAATGCAAGTTCACAAAATTGACTCAAACTCTAAAAAAGAGGTTACTAAAATAGAATCAATTATCCATAATGTCTTTAGATAACTGTAACTGATAGGCAACGAAGATTTTCCTTATTCTATATGTTTCTTTATTTACCGATACTCGTAATGAGGATTATCAGCCGTTTTATATAGTTATTTTAAAAGACTCCCTAGGATATAAACAACCATATCTTGCGATCGTTTGTCTCACTGAGTTATGTTTGAGTACGTATCCACCTTTTTTAACTTCTTTATTTTCGTGATGGGGATGGAAAATAGGTGAATGAATGTGATCTGGAAATCCGTGATGTTAACAGAGTTTGATTATACCCTCGTCTTAACTCTTGGTTATGCGCCTTTCGCGCGAGAGCGGCCATCATTCTCTGGTACCTCTCCTTCTCTTCTCTCACTTTCCTTTCTTTCTCCAGAATTGTCATCTCAAAAATTCTCTCTTGCCGTAATTTTTCTACTTCCTCTTCCTTCCTTTTTAATGCCTCCGTTCTTGCCCGGCCTCTTTCCTCTCTAACCTCGTCGCGAAGTGATGTATCCGCTTGTTGTTTTGACTGTAAGTTTAGACTAAGTGCAGCTGCTTGTTCGTTTAAGCCGAGCTCGTTCAAGTCTTTTATAAGGTGGTTAATTTCATCGATTCGATGTAGTCTGCGTATTTCAGTCTGCATTAGTTTCCGCAACTTTCCCTTTTTATTTAAACTCATTGAAGCTACTCCGTTCCTTCGTCGTGCCTTCGCTCGATCCAAATCGGACTGAATTTTTCTCAAGGCTGCCATTTCTTCCAAATGTTCCCTTACCCATTTCTCACCGGCACCAAAGTTATGGTCTTTGCTTTCTCTCTCGTCTTTCTCTGTCACTATTTTCCGGTTTCTTTCGAACCTCTTTTTCATAATTTCTGTCTGCTTGTTTTCAGCTCTTTCTTCCAGCCGGTTTATCGCCTCTTTCTCCGCGTGAATTCTTGATTCTATCAGTGTCGAGCGTGCGTGTGCGAGAATTTTGGAAAACTTCTTTTTTATGCGCAATTCTTTCGCCTTGGCATCTTGCCATATCTTTTTGAAATCTTCTCTTAACTTTTCATCGACTCTGCTTTCGATATCTTGCATGTCTTTGCTACTTAGAATGTAAGCGTCTTCCTTCTTGACCTCTGTGGAAAATTTCTCTTTGTCTCGAAAATAATCGAAATCTTCCAGCGAAAGTACCGAAGGTGATTCATTATCTTGACTGGGACTATTTGAGGTAGGAGATAGACTGTCTGAATCTCCAAAGGCAGAATCAATACTTGGAAGATAAAAGCTGTCATGTTTGCTCGAATTTTGTCGAGGTGTCCATTGGCGGCTTGAATATTCCTTAATCTCTAATTTGAAAATATCTGTTAATGCGTAATTTTGCGGGAAAGACATTGGGACCTTTCTTTAGTTTAAAGAAAGAAGAGCACACAGAGTTGGTTTACCATTGCAGGTTGTGTCCTTAAAAACTAGTTAGAGAAAATTATTGATCGCTAATAAGTGGTTTGCAATAATTGTTGTATTTGTATCGTAGTGTCAAAATAGACTCGTTTTGGATACGACATTGTGGTTCTTTTGTTTTTCTTTTGGTTTGTGCGAAGAAAAATGGTCCTATTTTGATCCCACTTACAATTAATAATACCACAAAAATAATTTTCGTGACAATTTCCGTCGGTTGCTTTTCACAGGCAAAAAAGTAATCAGCAATAGTATATGTTTATTCTGCGCAATTTTCAAGTGCGTTCGGAAACATGCCTTAAAAAAGTTTTCAAATCCTTGTGGATTTATTTCATTTAAAACCGTAGTACAAAACTGTCGTGTTTGCAAAGTCTTTGTCATTCATTTTCTTCACGTTTGCTTATCTTCACAAAGATTCTCATGTCTTATTTAAATTGCGGCTAATGATTCGCTTCTTTGTGAAGCGCGTTCGCAGACATTGTGTGAGACAATGTCAACCAATTACGAGAGGCTGTTTGAAAAGACGGTTACCGCAAATCAGAGATACGGTTGATAAGTGATATCAGCCAATCAGAATTCGTTACCCTCAGAGGAGCAAACAAGTGAAATCTGGTTTAGCTGCATTGGTTGAACTACAGTTCAGCACTGCAACTCCATGGCAACAGGATTCGTGAAGTGAAGGAATTACAATACACTGGACTTGTCATTCGGATACTTAAATCTTGCTACTTAAGTGAGTTCTAGGTTCGCGTTGTAAATGATAATAATATATATATTTTTAAATTAACGAATACTTTCTAAAGAACACCGTCAAATCGGCTGCTGCTATTAAAATATTTTAAAAATGAGACCAAACACACCGTTCAGTAACATTAGAAACCCCTTTGTGAGTTTCTGGTACCATGTATATTCATGTATAATATGACAGCGCATTGGAATTTGAGAGACACAAGAGAAGTGGTTACAGATATAGCTCATTATAAATAATTAAAGGAATGCACGTATTATGATTGGTCAGTGCGACTTATTACGTATATTGCTATAATGCACGCGCCTTACGTCACGCGCGTGCCTTATCGTCATACAATGCACCTGGTCTACGTCACCATGAGGAGCCGGCGCGCAAGTCACGTTGCACATCACGCTTTTTTGTATATTGCTTTGCGGTCGTTGCACGACTACGACGTGAAACTTCCTAATATTTCACGTTTTATGGAGGACGTGATCACAAGACAACGATTTTCTTTTTATTTTTGTGAATTTAGATACAGTCCTTTAGAATTCAACTCCTGAAAAAATAGCCAACATTTGACAACTTAAAACAGCTGGAATAAGAGCGATGAAGTTTGAAACAGCACGAATCGTCACTTTTTGGGTGACGCTTTCGCTGCTGCTGCCGTCGTCGTTGTCCTAAATAGGAAACAAGAGTGCAAACAGATTTTTTTACAGAGGTTTTTTTGTATGTTAAGCCAATTTTTAGTACACTAAGGTGAGAAAGGTAGAAAAAGACTTAACCAACGTCACCACTCTTTTATATTAACAACTGTCTGTCCTTGCTTAAACTGCAAATATATTGTACATAGCAGGAGCCCACAACNTTGCTATAATGCACGCGCCTTACGTCACGCGCGTGCCTTATCGTCATATAATGCATCTGGTCTACGTCACCATGAGGAGCCGGCGCGCAAGTTACGTTGCACATCACGCTTTTTTGTATATTGCTTTGCGGTCGTTGCACGACTACGACGTGAAACTTCCTAATATTTCACGTTTTATGGAGAACGTGATCACAAGACAACGATTTTCTTTTTTTCTTTTTGTGAATTTAGATACAATCCTTTAGAATTCAACCCCTGGAAAAATAGCCAACATTTGACAACTTAAAACAGCTGGAATAAGAGCGATGAAGTTTGAAACAACACGAATCGTCACTTTTAGGATGACGTTTTCGCTGCTGTTGCCGTCGTCGTTGTCCTAAATAGGAGACAAGAGTGCAAACAGAATCTTTGGAACTTCTTTTTTTTTACAGAGGTTTTTTTTATGTGAAGCCAATTTTTAGTACACTAAGGTGAGAAAGGTAGAAAAAGACTTAACCAACGTCACCACTCTTTTATATTAACAACTGTCTGTCCTTGCTTAAACTGCAAATATATTGTACATAGCAGGAGCCCACAACCACATAGGAATCTTCGAACCGTTGCAAATATGCTTATTCTAAGTTTTTCTTTTCTTTTAGAACAACAATCGCTTTTAACCAACTTCCTAGCTCATTGCAGGTTTAACTGACGCGTGAATGAATTATTCTGGTGGTTTTTTAGTTAGTTTTTTTCATCTAAAAGAAATTCTATAATTTTCCTTATTGCAAGCAAACTTGAAAAGTAATCTAATAATAATAACAATAATTTTATCATTTACTTATTTGGTTTGTACCTCAAGCGCGATCGTTGTCACAGACCCTAACAGCGAAAAAAAAAATTGGCTTAAGGCCGGGAGAAGAATGGGGATGACCGTCAAGTTGATGTCCCCTTTCGGCTTCGCCCATGCTCTGTTTGAGCGAGGCAGCTGCGCTGCCAAAAAGCACCGTTTTGCACTCTGATCCCGCCACCTAAGAAATTAGAGATATTAGGCCGGCAGTAAGCGCGTCACTGATTATTTCCGAATCCTTCTGGAATGTTCACACCCTATGACTTGGCTCCGTTTCCTGTCGTGGGTGGATGACGCGCGTGTATTTGTTGAACTTTGGCGGGAACCACTAAAGCTATCGCTGGTGCCTGAAGTGCTACTACCGCTGTCGTCGCTGCTTGACTGCTCGTCGTCTTCGTCATCTTCATCAGTAGAGGACCTGGAGTCGCGAATGAGTAGAGGAAAATACGAAAACTTAAATGCCCGCGATATTTTAGCGGATAAAGTGAACTTTTGTCTTTCATCCCAAAGTGCGATATTCTTTTGTCTTCGCTCAAGCGCCTCTGCCCTCCTTCTTTCTCGTTCACGCATTCTCGTTTCTCTCATTTCTTCTTCCATTCTTCCAAGTTCCTCCATTCTAAGAAAGAATGCTTCTCTTCTACTCTTCTCCAAGGTCTTCATTTCCAATCTAATTCGTTCTTCCTTTTCCTCTTGTTGCTCTTTCTTTATCGCCTTCTTCAGCTCTTTTTCTGCCATCAATTTGGACTCCAAAAGGTCGCTAAGGTTCTCTGCCTCCTTGTCTTTGTTGAGTTTGTACAGTTGTTGTATAGTTTTGTTCACAGTTTTTNCACGCGCGTGCCTTATCGTCATACAATGCACCTGGTCTACGTCACCATGAGGAGCCGGCGCGCAAGTCACGTTGCACATCACGCTTTTTTGTATATTGCTTTGCGGTCGTTGCACGACTACGACGTGAAACTTCCTAATATTTCACGTTTTATGGAGGACGTGATCACAAGACAACGATTTTCTTTTTATTTTTGTGAATTTAGATACAGTCCTTTAGAATTCAACTCCTGAAAAAATAGCCAACATTTGACAACTTAAAACAGCTGGAATAAGAGCGATGAAGTTTGAAACAGCACGAATCGTCACTTTTTGGGTGACGCTTTCGCTGCTGCTGCCGTCGTCGTTGTCCTAAATAGGAAACAAGAGTGCAAACAGATTTTTTTACAGAGGTTTTTTTGTATGTTAAGCCAATTTTTAGTACACTAAGGTGAGAAAGGTAGAAAAAGACTTAACCAACGTCACCACTCTTTTATATTAACAACTGTCTGTCCTTGCTTAAACTGCAAATATATTGTACATAGCAGGAGCCCACAACCATATAGAAATCTTCTAACCGTTGCAAATATGCTTATTCTAAGTTTTTCTTTTCTTTTGGAACAACAATCGCTTTTAACCAGCTTCCTAGCTCATTGCAGACTTAACTGACGCGTGCATGCATTATTCTGGTGGTATTTCTAGTTAGTTTTTTTCATCTAAACGAAATTCTATGATTTTCCTTATTGCGAGCAAACTTGAAAAGTAATCTAATAATAACAACAATAATTTTATCATTTACTTATTTGGTTTGTACCTCAAGCGCGATCGTTGTCACAGACCCTAACAGCGAAAAAAAAAAATTGGCTTAAGGCCGGGAGAAGAATGGGGATGACCGTCAAGTTGATGTCCCCTTTCGGCTTCGCCCATGCTCTGTTTGAGCGAGGCAGCTGGGCTGCCAAAAAGCACCGTTTTGCACTCTGATCCCGCCACCTAAGAAATTAGCTATATCAGGCCGGCAGTAAGCGCGTCACTGATTACTTCCGAATCCTTCTGGAATGTTCACACCCTATGACTTGGCTCCGTTTCCTGTCGTGGGTGGGTGACGCGCGTGTATTTGTTGAACTTTGGCGGGAACCACTTAAGCTATCGCTGGTGCCTGAAGTGCTACTACCGCTGTCCTCGCTGCTTGACTGCTCGTCGTCTTCGTCATCTTCATCAGTAGAGGACCTGGAGTCGCGAATGAGTAGAGGAAAGTACGAAAACTTAAATGCCCGCGATATTTTAGCGGATAAAGTGAACTTTTGTCTTTCATCCCAAAGTGCGATATTTTTTTGTCTTCGCTCACGAGCCTCTGCCCTCCTCCTTTCTCGTTCACGCATTCTCGTTTCTCTCATTTCTTCTTCCATTCTTCCAAGTTCCTCCATTCTAAGAAAGAATGCTTCTCTTCTACTCTTCTCCAAGGTCTTCGTTTCCAATCTAATTCGTTCCTCCTTTTCCTCTTGTTGCTCTTTCTTTATCGCCTTCTTCAGCTCTTTTTCTGCCATCAATTTGGACTCCAAAAGGTCGCTAAGGTTCTCTGCCTCCTTGTCTTTGTTGAGTTTGTACAGTTGTTGTATAGTTTTGTTCACAGTTTTTATAAGTTTGTTCTGCTTTGAGGCGCTAGTTTTACCTTCTTTAAGTATACTTCGCTCTGGCGTAGGTGACACTTTTTCACTCTGGGGGTTCCTGGCAACCTCTTCTGTCATTTCCAGCATAGAAATGACTTTCGTTTCTGTCTTTATCTCGTCCGCCTCTTGTTTGTCGTCTATCTTTTCGATGAAGGCCATATTTACTATTCCCCTATGCTCCTGGTTACTGTTGTTAACTGCTCCTATTATTTTGCGACGTGGTCGAAATTTCTTTCCAGTAAAATTGCTTGAAGTGTCACCACTCGTTAGTGATTTACTTCTTATTTTTGGAAGTCTATTGCCCGGGTGACGAGGCTTCATTTCAGTCTCTTGATCTTTCTGTAAACTCAACCTGCGAGTTGACAATCCGGCACCATTAGCGCTCTTTCTTCCACCTTTTCCGGACTGAAAACTTTTAATGCTTCCCAAGTTACTGCTACTGAATGACACCGCTCTTTCCCTTGTGCGCTCCGTTTCTGATTGCTGAATCACTTCGTTTACTTCAGTTAAGTGTTTCTGCACCTCATTTTCCAGAACACGGATGCGATCTTGTAAAAGCTTCGAAATTTTGAACGGTCTTTCGGAAACGCCCGGGCTTTTCCTTCCATCTTTTTCGAGGTGCGACTCGGAGAATGGCACTAAAGATTTACTTTTTTGAACTTGGGGCAGCTCTAAACAGTTTTCAGTTCTTGTCTCATCCTCTGCTAGCAACAAGTTGTCGCAGAGTAGATCTTGCTCGCTTAAATGTGGCTTCGAGACTACTTCAAGAAGAGCTGTATTTTTTCGGCTTGGTTTTGTGTATGGCGGCGTATTTTCTTCGCCGATTTCACTCTCCGAAGAGATCATACTTGCCCTTGGAATATCAATACTTTTTCTCATTGAAGAATGACGACTATTCTCCATGGGAGAATGGTTCGGCTCTGTTATTAGCTTCGGCACAAAACTTTAAACTTTTGGTTCACCTGGCTTTTCACAAGAGTATTTTGGCAGGTCCTTTTTTAGCCGTATTTGAAGATGGATATCTCTTTAGTTTAGCAACTGCATGTCTTGCGGTAAAGCGACAAATTTCGTGCTTTGTAAGTTTGTGTTTCTTGTTACCACCTCTGTGTACCATCTTTTTGTTAGGTGTTTGAGTGGCGCGTTAGCGCCCTTATTCCTTTCTAATACACCAATTATCGCCGTTGAACAGTGCAAATTGAACCGCTTATTAACGAAGTTCTGTTTCCGCTTTTAATTTTTGTGTTTGTCTATTGATTGTACTCCTCCACTACCTTCACAACAGGATTTTTAAATGAAATTTAAATTATTCACATGAATAATTAGAGTAGTTTAGGTTTACTTTTGTAGTTTTTCGTTATCGTACACAAAAGCTTCACACTTTCAGAGGCTGGGCAAGAGTTTACGTGGCGGCTGGGTTCAATTCAAGACATAACTTACCACCTGTTTCCTTGCCTATACGAAGTTGCGAAGGAGGCTGGATCATTAGTGCAATTCGACGTGAAAACTTCACTTCAAAATAGCTGATTTTTTTTGTTTTTTTTTGTTTTGAGAATTTCAAATATGGTCGGTTTCGCCTTTTGATGAATAGGCCATGTCGTCCCTGTCGGTATTAAACCCATCTTTATGTCATTTGTTGGCTTTTCATGTCGTCTTATGGCGCTGTTTCAAGGCCATGTTGCTTGTCGTAATTTTATCCTAACTGGGCATCGTTAATAGCAGGCACCCCTTTTAGGGGCCACACAATTCTAAAACGGAAACAAATAATTTACTCTACTCAGGTATCGATTAATTTATTTGGTGCGGAACTTCTAGTTTGTAGCAATATGCATGAATTGGGGGAGGATTGTAAGCTGGATTGAAGACAGGGATGATGAACAACCGAGAACGTTAACGTAGAGGAAAGCTAAGGACTGCAGACATTTAACATCCACATACAAGTTCTCTAAACTGATCTTCATACATTTTCTTAAAGAAGTGGTCAGAAGATTCTGAGAAAGGATCGAAGCGTTTTCCTGTAGGTCTTGACAATGTATTAAGATATTAAGGACTAACTTTTTATTATGACTGAATGTATCAGTTTTCAGCCCGTTTGTTCCAGTAAGAGTAACATCTGTGTTATATATATCCTTGCATTGTAAGGTCTAAGACATACGATCCTGACCGACTTTCACTCCTTTTTTGCAACTAAATCTCCTAACGTCAGTCGCTCTATAGCTGAGTTGTTTAGCTTTGTTTAAAGTTAACCCTTTAAGCCCTAAGAGTGATCAGCATCAAATTTCTCCTTGTAATATCAATGCTTTGTAAAACAGAGTGGTCATAAGAATTACGGACATGATCACACAAGATGAATTTGCTTGATATTTTATCAACTTCTCCCCACTACTTCTGTAGGAAATGAATAGCGGCAACAAATGACAATTAAATTTTTATCTTAAGGTTTAAAGGGTTAAGAGTCCCGTCATTGAAGTCCCAGTTTTTTTTATTTTCAGTGGCCAATTATTTGCAGTTGAATAAATTTCATTCAAAACAGTCTGCGAGAATAATTTCTCTTTATTCAGGACATTTGATTTGTTCGTTCTCTGTCCGATTATTGAGTTCGAGAGAAACGGCAAATTAGTAATAACTAATACTGAAGGTACGGAAGAAAACAGACAGGAAACGGAAATCGTTGTGTTCTCCTGTCATGCGTGCCTTTTGGAAGCTATGATACACATGTACAGCGAGGCTGCTTTTCGGTTTGTGTTTTCAGTTTGCTTATCAAATACTAAATCAAAGTCATAGTGTTGGTTGAAAACCTGTGATCCCGGGAACTGTTCATTCGGATGGATTTACTGAAGGTTACTGAGGGCTTTAACAGTGAACGAAGGTTTCAGTTGATATGAACAGTTCAGGTTAGCGAGGTGTTTCTAATGACAACCTTCGTAGTCGCCATTTTCGTCATTGCGTTCAGTCATTTCTGGACAGAAGTAAAATGACTGCGAATGACTGACTGATTTACATAACCTGCGCTGCAGATGTAAACGAACCACGGTTAGAAGGACTTAATCAGAGTTTAGGTTTGTCTCCAGCGCAGGCTACCTTTACACTGAGCCATTTACAATGTCTTTAACTTTTGTGGCTTTTCAGCAACCTCGTTGCCACTCCAGGGGACATGAAGAAGAGTGAGCCTGGTAACAAGGCCTTGGGCTTCACAAAACTGTTTGAAAGTTTTGCATGCTTATTTCTTTACATTTAAGCGTTTCCTTTTTAACATGCAAAGAAGGGAGATTGCTGAGTTATAGTCTCTGAAGAAACCGGGATAAAAAACAACAACAGCAACGGTTGGTACTGTTTCGGTGTGTGACTGAAATATAAAAGTGTTGTTAATTTAACAACTGAGGTTGTAAAAGCCACCGTAAGATGCCATTTTAAGCGTTGCGGCCCCTTCTTGAAATTATAAGACCTCAGACGAAATGTGAACTTAGCTGATGGCATGAACACTTCTTATTCCGGGAGTAAAGTAAGCAAGTCAGTGGGTAACTTTATTTAGCCAGGGTAGCCGATTCAGCAATGAGGCTGGTATCCATAGGGGCCCTGAGAAATAAAGATCTATATAATTTAAAAATTCCCAAGGTATGTGCATGATTAAAATCAGCAACACTACAATAAATTCATGGCCGCCCTTTTTATTGTTTTGGAACACCAATATGGCCGCCGTGACGTCATGTGAAAACGTTCAATTGGTGTGGACGGTCGAAAACGCATGAAAATGAAACGATGATCGATAATATCGCAGGCGCTCGTGTGTTTTGAGCATGCAGATAGTGACCAACTTGCGCCACAACGTGCAATTCTATCGGGCGTTTTCGAACGTTTCGGTGTAGACAGTCGAAAACACACCAAAACTTTAGTGTGGACGCAAATCGATCGATGCGTGTTCGATGACAACGAAAACGCAAAGTTTTAAAAATGCATTAGTGTGTATAGGGCATTAGAAACCACGTTATTGGGTTCTTTGTTACGTGTGATAGCTATACTTTCACGGGCACATGTTAAAGCCACCAATAGAGTATGTACATTCTTGCTTGAGAGGATTTGTGTTTCCTTGGTCACTGTTCAAAATACAGTAGCCAACGTGTTATCAAAAGGTGTCACTCGTTAGAAAAAGTTGAAACATTTAATTTAATTTTCGACCAAACATCAATTCGACATTTATTCAAACTCTTGCTGTGAAAAGCTCTTTGAAGTCTGTTAACCTAATTTTATGGGGTTCGATGCGTTTTTTCACAGTTTGCTAGTTTAACTCCTTATCTAGTTTTTGATGTATTGTTGACTATTGATTGGCCGATTTGGCTTGTCTAGATTTATTCAACTGCTTTATTTGCTTCGACCGAAACTGGCATTTTTTTTAAAAAACTCATTGAACCAAGCAGGTTGCTGTCTTTCTTGTGTTAATATGCCAACGCTTTCAGCTCATAACAAAGACAAGTGAATCTACATGTTTATTCATATCGGGTGAAGTAATGAAAGGCCTCAAAGAATGTNGACGGTCGAAAACGCATGAAAATGAAACGATGATCGAAAATATCGCAGGCGCACTTGTGTTTTGAGCATGCAGATTGGGCCACAACGTGCCACAACGTGCCACAACGTGCAATTCTATCGGGCGTTTTCGAGCGTTCGGTGTAGACAGTCGAAAACGCACCAAAACTTTAGTGTGGACACGAATCGATTGATGCGTGTTCGATGACAACGAAAACGCAAAGTTTTAAAAATGCATTAGTGTGTATAAGGCATTAGAAACCACATGTTATTGGTTCTTTGTTACGTGTGATAGCTATACTTTCACGGGCACATGTTAAAGCCACCAATAGAGTACATTCTTACTTGAGAGGATTTTTGTTTCCTTAGTCACTGTTCCAAATACAGTAGCCAACGTGTTATCAAAAGGTGTCACTCGTTAGAAAAAGTTGAAACATTTAATTTAATTTTCGACCAAACATCAAGTCGACATTTATTCAAACTCTTGCTGTGAAAAGCTCTTTGAAGTCTGTTAACCTAGTTTTATGAGGTTTGATGCGTTTTTTTCACGGTTTGTAGCTCAACTCCTTATCTAGTTTTTTATGTATTGTTGACTATTGATTCGCCGATTTGGCTTGTCTAGATTTATTCAACTGCTTTATTCGCTTCGACCGAAACTGGCATTTTTTTTAAGAAACTCATTGAACCAAGCAGGTTGCTGTCTTTCTTGTGTTAATATGCCAACGCTTTCAGCTCATAACAAAGACAAGTGAATCTACATGTTTATTCATATCGGGTGAAGTAATGAAAGGCCTCAAAGAATGTATTGTTCAGGTCAACTCATGCACGGTTAAGTGTGGTGAAGTTAGAGAAGAAACAAACTAAAGAGGAATTACTTGTAAGGGGAATGGTGAACCGACTGCTCGCGTAACTTTTCGTAGTTTCGTAGTTCTTTTGACTTCCGGTGGAACATATATGGAGGAAATGTAGCAGTCGATTGATCAAGCTTTCATTTAGAGCGCCATAAAACGGAGTTAAAGGCAAATGAATGGCACAACGTTAGAAGATTTGCATTTTGATGCGTGAGAAAGCTCGATGAACGAAAGCGACGAAGAGAGTCGGAACGTTCATAGACTTTTGCTTGATTATTACACAAATGACGAAGTAGCTAAAGATGTGGAGGGACCAGGTGAGTTGGGTTTAAGATCCGCGACTTTATAGCGTCGTAAAATTTGTGGAGAAACTTCTGTGATATGGTAATCACCGGCTCTATATTTGGCAAGATATTGTTTGCGCCGGCTTCTTTCGCGCTTTGAACTTCTCGAAACTAATCTCTAACGTTTTTCAGTTTCGTTCCGTAAAGCTTAGCTTGTTACTTGCTTTGTTAGGATAGGTGAACGACAGGGGTAACTTTAGACACCACGAGGAAAGTTATCAACTAATTCATATGCAAGTGTTTTGAAGTGGAAAACTTAGATTGAGGCAAGGAAATTTATTTATAATATTTCACTCATATTAGGTGAGTTGTTTGGCGATAAATCAGACAACGCGAACTAAAAGCAAATTTTAAAGTAAACTTTCCGTTGGGCGAATCAACGATTTTGTCATACGATAATTACAAAGAGCCTTAAAAGGGTTAATCCTAGTGATTAACTACCGAATTTTGGAAAGCAGTGCTGTACTGAAGAGAAAGTACGATTACTTTTGTCAAACTGTCACCGATCAGCAAGAGTAAATATGACACGTTTTTCAGTCGCGATATAGGAGAAAACTGATGTTCCTGCGAAAGTTAACACTCCTTGCTGATTATAATTTGCTGGAGGCACGCTTAATTTATTATTAACAAGGTATTCATCAGATTGCATCTGATTTACCTCGCTGTTTATTCAAGAATTCTCGCGCTCTGTGATCCGGCCTGTTAACTTGTCCCTTGCTCAGGGATGCGAAAACAAGTTTAATTCAAATAGAAGTTGTTTGCATGTCTTGTCGTACTTTTCAGTAGTCGAAGATGTTGTAAAGATCGTCGAAGTATCCGGAGTTCTCTGTTCCATTGAAAAAGAAAAATACGAAAGCTTTTCAAATGGCCTTTTTTTTTTAACAAAATGCACATCCAATTAGGTTATTTTAATTCCATTTCGTGCGAACGGATGTATCCCTGATTATTTGTCATGACAGTTTGGGGGATATATTCACGTGGAAAAATACCCAAGTTTTGACAGTTCTTTGGCTTTATTATTGCATTAAAGGAATCAAGCACCAGTTAAAATGTTGTACAAAAACGGCGAAGAAGTACGTTTTGGGCGCCGTTCAATCACTCTGTAGGCACACAAGGTTTAAAGGCGGCTAAACAAGTGTAAGCTCACCTCACAGCGTTAATATCGCTTCTTCGATATTTCATTATTTGCAAGTAAAAAGAACCTTGATAATCCTGGTACCCCTGGGAATGACACATTTCATTATACCCAAAATCGAATGCAATCGTATTAAAGAACGAATTAAAGAGTGTTTCATGAATATATCGCACTTTTGAGGTTTCGCGAATGTCGTCGACATTCCAATACGTGCAACTACTCCCGACATTTTGAGAGTGAATACTGATTTAAATTTCATAACAAGGAAGTTGTAAAAATGGATAGCAGTTATTAAAGATGTGATTGTGGGTTTTTTCTATAAAAGTAAACGTCTCACCAAATACTTGAGAAAATTACAGTACGTGCAACTCTACTCTACATATTGACTTTCGGTTTATGGTAATAATATGGAACAAGGAATTTTGTAAAAATGAGCAGTAGTTGCGACGTAATTCATGTAGTGTTTTCCTTTTGAAATGAACTTCTCACAAAACATCCTTAACTGCGGTCATCTTCAAAAGATGAGTGGATCCTTCTCGCTACGTTAACCGCAGAGATTTCAGATATTTTCTTTGTTTTGAACTTGTTCTGTCAGGTACGGTGGTTCAATATAATTAGCTTAAAATAATCCTTCGAAGCGGTTCTTTTCAATCCTGCCTGCGGTTATTTTGATTTTCTGAGCCGTATTTTTGTTTTTGATGTTCTAGAATGTCAGAGTGTAATTCTCTTTAACCGTGAAGGTCATTTGAGGACAGGCCAACACTAAAGCCCTTACCATGCAAGCGCTTGGTAACGGTCGTAATGGAAAAGATAACTTCATTTATGTATGAGAAGTGCTTCATAACGGAAGAAATGACTTCATTTCATAGTTATACAAACTATTTGTTTGTTCCGTGAAGTTCAATATTGGAACGTTTTGTATGGGCCCTTTGCAACTTGTCAGTCACATCGCAGTTTACAAAACCCACAAACTGAACACCTAGTTTAAGAGCAAACATGCCAGTGAAGGAAAAAAAAGAGCCTATTCACACGCAAACATGTATAAAATGGTTACTCTCCATTAGCGGCTGCATTGGTCATTTTTTTCTACTTCAATGACTAACGATCGGAATTGCCTTTTCCCCTAGACACAAGGAGAGAGAGGCCCTTTATGCTTGAATAAATCAGTATAGGACTAGCAACAAATAAGTATTGAAATCAATCAATCAATTTGGTCCTATCCACAACGTGTTGTTTCAAACAAGCGCTTTTCGTAGTAACACTAAAAAGGCATCAAAAGTTTCGCAACTACTTTGATAAGTGGTTTAGCATCGTTTTTGAATGTCCACACTCAGTAATCAAATGTAGGTATTCTCGAACGTGTTTACCACCAAAAACTTTCTTAATACTTCCATCTGTTCCTCTAGTTCAAAGCACGATCGCCAATTCTAAGGAAATTCATTGCCAGGTGATGAGGCTTAGTGAGACGATCTGATTTAAAGTTTGCAACGTGCATGAAAACGCTGAGATATCAAGTCATTTTGAGGCAAATAAAGTGATATTCTACTTTATTCAGTTGCTTACGTGTTATTTACCGCGTCTTTGTTTGATTACACGCGAAGCCACGTTATGTGTGAGTAGGCGAAAGCGCCTCAGAGGGGCGGGCTCTTGTCACTAGTGCATCTCTTAAATCCAGCAGCTAAGCCTCGTTGCGCGGGAACTTGAAAACGAGGTCGGTCCCGACACTCTATAATGACTCCTAGCACTTCAAAGGTGACGCTGATAACAGCGTCTCTGTTCTGTTGTCTCGGACGCGCTAAGTATGTTTGTGGTTGATTCATTATATTGTGATGTAAATAGTGCCTCTGCGAAATCATTTATATTAAAAGCAGGTTTTATTATTATTATTATTTTGTCTTTTGACAATACTTATACAAAAGTTACATCATATGTTCTTTTTAAAAGTAAATTTTCGTTGCATGAACTTCATTTTAAAAAAAAAGGAACGCTTTTTTCCCTCACTGTAGAGATTGCTTTGTATATCTTGCAAAAACTGAACTAAGTAGAAAGATCTGGATACGAAGTATATTGGGGAGCATTTGCAAGCGATAAATATTTTTCGCTAAATTCTTTGCTCGCTTTATGTATTGTTCCAGAGATTAAATGCAGTTGTCGTGATCACATAATCAGAGACCGTTTTACACCTGAAAGAGCACTTGACAGAGTCGTCTATTTGCAGTTGTCATTTTTCACGCTCTGAAGGTTTTGTTAGTTAATCCAACCGTTGCTGCTCTTCTTGTTGACGGCATTTACAGGGGCTGGTTTAGGCCAAGAAGTCGCTATCTTCGAATTTTGCACAGGAATGCGCGTCTAGAATTTCGATGGTCGCCAGATCATCGCCAGGCGAAGTTGAAGCAAATCAACCTGGTGCAAACTTCAACTACTATGATTCGTTAAACTCTCATCTCCAAAAGCTTATAGCTGAATGTACACAAGGTAAATTTGCTAATTAATTTGTTGTACACAACTGGTTTGCAATCTTCCCGCAAGTTAACCAGAGTCTGTTTTAATTCTTTCAGACAAAGTCAAGGTCAAAGTTGCGATTGGTTTTGCCATCGCTTGTGCTGTCCTTCTACTAGGGATATTTATTTTGCTGCTGTACAAAGTTCTGTGGTTCAAAGCCAAGAGCAATGAGGCCAGAAAAGCACCGCCAAAAAGCATACCTCAGACCCGCGCGCCGGGAATATCGGAACGAGATTTCAAAACGACTCGACAACAGCGTCGACATCAGCCTCTGATGCGATCCGACAGCTCAGCATCTGACATTAACTTGGATTCCGTGCTCAAAAATAACAACTTAACTTCTTCGGAGTCAGAGAGCAGCGGACCGAGCTTCAATCTTGGAAAACTCGAATTCAACATAAACTACGATACTGATACAGAGTCGCTGCGCGTCACTATAGTCGCCGCGCACGATTTGCCATCCATTCACAGCACAAACTACGTTGAACTGTATCTCCTTCCTGAGCGAGTGGAAAAACACCAAACGAAGATTCACTATTCCGATTGCAATCCTGTTTATAACGAAGAATTTGAATTTGATATTGGATATTCCGAGCTTGCGGAGCGGACCTTGCAATGCTGTCTTTTCAGCTATGATGGTTTCTCTCGACACCAATCTATTGGGGAAGTGTTTCATTCTTTCGGCGAGGATGACCAGACGAACGAGTACACAGGAGTTTCGTTATGTAAGGATATCAAGAGAGATGTGTTTTTGTTAAAGGTGAGCAAATTTCTTTCTCTGTTGTATGATATATTTATCTATGGAGGTAAATACTGTTTTCTAAAAATATCGAAACAACAGGGAATGCTATGATTTTATTGAATCCTAACATCAGCTGACCATAAAATACGAAAAAAAAAATTCGATTAAAAGAAAGAAATCATTGCATTTATACTTCGGTAAGTGGAAGTCATGGTTCTTGTTTTGTAAGTTTGAAATACAAAACTTTTTACAGGAAAGTTTTTTCTGTATCTTTGGCTGGGCCTCAACGGTTGGTTGCTTTTAAGGACATTTTTAATAGTCTTGTTTTTGTACTTTAAGAGCCCGTTATAATTTATTCGTCCAGCTCTTAGCTAGACCTCTTGCTTTCAGGCCTCTGTTCCCATAATGTAACACCCTTTCTATCAATTTTCTTGCATTAATTGCCTTGACTCTACTTTACAATGAGTAAGACGCGAAGTTCACAAGAAAGCCTGAAAACTGGGATTCTTTAAAAGCGGACTATGCTTGATTTAATCAAGCGTATGAGTTATTTTTATCAAAGAATTCGACCGTGGAACCCTAAAAACTAGTGAAAGCGTCCTCTTTATACTTCACTGAGCGGAAAGTCCACAATCAAACACAAAATATTGTGTGATATTACAGTTAAACATCCGTTAAGCGTCCATCTTCGGGGTACTGGCAAGTGGCCGCTCAATAGAGGTTCGCCATAAATTAGCATAGCATGAGCATAACCTTTAGTGGAAAGATCTGCTTTATTTTGTGAGCATAACCTATAGCGGAAACATCCGCTTTATTTTGAAACAAACGCGCGACGGAAGCAGCATTTATTTTCTGGTCCAAAATCGGTCGTCACCTGAATTTTCTTCATCATATTCTTGAATAAAGCCAAATTAAGATGATGACCGCTTAATAGAGGTTTAATTTCCCATTCTTTTTTACGACTATTTCGGGACTTTGATTGCTGGTTGCTAAATGGAGGGTCAACTGTATTTTGATCTTTAGGAGGAGACCTTGACACGTGTAGGCGAGATATTGGTGTCCCTGTGCTATCTTCCTACTACCAACAGGCTCACGTTTGTTGTCCTGAAAGCAAGACTTTCAAAAAGCTCCTTTGCTGGTGCCCTACCGAGTAAGTCAAGTTTAACATTTTTTAGTTTTAATTGAAGGATTCTACTAGATGTTGACAGTTCTAGTATTAAAAAGCACTTCATATTATGAAGCTTTTACTATTGCACGTCATCCAATTCCTGCTGTTTTAACTATTAAAGACAAGTTAACTATAATAACAAAACAGCAAATTCGAAAGTGACTGGAGTTCTCCCGATACTTCGGATGGACAAACTGCGGTGCTAAAGTTAGCTTGTGTACAGACGACCCCACTCCCTCAGAAAAAAATCTGGAGAAGAAACGAAAAACTCGGGAGAAGAGACGACTTCTTTTCTCCCGATTTTTTCTGAGGGAGGGGGGACGTCTGTACACAGGCAATTCTAAAGTAGGACGGCCTGTCCGTCCAAAGTATCGAAAAAAACTCCAGTCGCTTTTGTCTTTGCTAATTNCTTTTTAACAACATAGAACTTTTTACGATCTATTTTACATTTTTATCGACCATGCTTGAGGGAGAATAAGACGGGAGTAAAGAGTTAATGAGTGAGATATTTTGAAGCTGTATACGCGAAGAGCATCTCTTAAGAAAAGAATGTTTACCTTTTAATTCATGATCTCTTCCATGATTTTGAAATAATGTTTGAGGACACAAAAGCTAATCTGGAGCTAAGAAAATTCGAACGCACTCATTAATCTATGATTACTTCTAGTTAGTTATAGTTCTTCTATTTTACCATACAATAGATAATGAGAAGGAAATATAAGCTACTGAATTTATAAACAGACAAATGTTTTCCCCCAACATGTCCTGCAGAAAGATGAGACCCATTCAGCTTAAACATTTACAGAATTCACTGACTCGAAAAAAAATTTTGCGAACCGTTCTCTGCTTTTTAACTTGTAAGAATTTGTGTACTGCTCCTGTAGAGTTACAGAGTTTTGGTGATTTTTGCAGACATATTAAAACATGAAAGAGTTGGCCCAACTTTTTCAAGCTTTTTCAAGTTTCAGTCGATGTGCATCCTTGCCATCCGTTCCCAGCGGCAACAGTCAATGCCTAATTATAGTCTCATAAATAACAAAACTGGACCATTATTTTTGGAATTTAATCTATGCGAAGACAAGTATTAGCTTTTTTAAAAAAAAGATAGCGAGTAGGGTGACATAGTCCCTTCAAGAAAGAAATTTTTTAAGATACATGTAATTTAGTGCCATGCTGTGAAAAAATAAAAGAGACCTTCGCCACAGTATTCATGAGTCAAGCATTCAGCATCCTCAGGCGACAATGCGTCTGCTATACGTCCTATTAATTCTTTGTAACCGACAATCACTTAGTTTTGAATATCTGCCACGTAAAACAGCTTCTAGTGAATAGATATTAGTAATGAAGACTTTTTGAGCCAACCTTTATTTTACTCACTGACTAGATTTCCTACTAACTAGACATCATTATAAATCGCTGCACGGGTTGTCTGTAATAGTAGAGTCAGTCTCAATCGAACGGTCTTATTGTCATTTACATGTATTTAACAGTTTTTGGACTTAAAAACAAAATGTGCTGAAAGTCTTGTCGTCTTGAAAATATTTTGGTTTCTAGTGTATTTTTTCTTCCAATTAGCCCATTAGTATTGCGGATTTATTTAACGCAAACATCAGTCAAGGCTGTGTTTACCCAGTGGACTTGTAGAAAGTTCGATTTGGTCTTTTCAAATTGCCTGAAGAAAATTCTCGCTTTTTTGTATAAAGTGTATCTGAATTCATTTTTATCAGTCATTAATAGAATTTGATTTTAATACAATTATATAAGAGAATGATAGTGATCTCTAAATTTTTAAAGTGAATTTAAAATATATTTATGACATAACTCATGTTTGAATTTTAAAGTAGCACTCGTAAATGTTACATTGACCTGGCATTATTAGAACCTTTGGAAAATTACACTGTTTGGTGTAATTTTTAATTTTAAAACTGAAATACGAATTTCCATATCTTTGGTCTTCGTTTCACGTGGCTGCATCTCAAAAGCTGATTGTTTATATCTTAAAATTATCCTAAAACATCTTTTAGATTTCTTAATTCTGCGTGCTTGTAGCGGATTGAGATTCGTCATTCGCTGGCCCTAACGTCCTTCGTACACTGTTTCGTATATATTGCAGTGCTTCAGTGCTCTGTGTCATAAATTTGTCTAATAAAGTTAAGCTTCCACGGTTGGTGGATTTTGAAGGCAAATGTGGCATGTTGTTTCGTTTTCTGTAACTCATTGTGTGTGATAAGTCTGAAGTGGAACGCGCCCTCCTTCCCGCCAGAGGTGGAGTTCGTTTCGCTGCCAAACCCGAGGCCGATTCAACTCTCAAGTCCCACTGACTCGCCGCTGTTGAAGTGGGAAACCGGTTTGATCTAAAGTGACGACCTTTTCGCGAAGTTTCGTCATTAAGTCTCAAACTACTCCTGGATAAGAGATGAAAGTCAAGTCGTGCCACTTCTGGCAGTCGTGAATACTCGGACAGCAGTTGAACATCATCATTGTCATGCGATGGTTTTCCGTTTAACACACGTTCAGATCGTAACGCGATCAGCAGCGCTTGTTTCTGTGCTTGTGACTGCCGAAGCTGCGATTTTATGAGTCTGATTTCCGACTGCAGCTCGTCCTGTCTGTTTCTCATTTCACTAACAGTGTCCTCTAACGTTTCAATAAACGCTCTGCTCTCTTCAATACTGTCGTACGGACCGGGCGGATCGTCGAAGCAAAAAAACTCCAGCACAGGCTTCACTGATATAATATCCTGTCGTATTAAAACATTGTCGATGTACTCTTGTAGGCCTTTTCTCCTTTGTTCAATAAAATTTGCGTCAAAGTTGTCTCCAAAATATCTTTTAGGTGGAAGAACGCCGTTGAAGTCATTTAATAGTTTACGCAATTCTTCATCCATGCGGACGAAGTCGGAATACCTGCGAAATACATGCCAGTTTCGCTCGTTTCCTAGTTGGACGAAGATCTGATACACCGTGAATCGTTTTCTCGCCTCTACGACTTCGTACCCTACGATCGGGGCCTGAATTTCAACTTCATTTATTGACTGAAACGATTGAAATTGATGTTCGTTGTCACCAGGTGCCTCGCTTATGTCTGCGGCCATCAGTATTGTCAGCGCAACTTAATTTTCGCACTTTTGGCATGAAGTATCTCCATCAATTACTACCCGTGCTTTTCCACGTCGAAGGTGTATTATTTTGCTCATTTTAGTTCCGGTCATGTAAATTCAAACATTCGTTGTATAAGGTGTTATTTCATTATCAACAACAATGAGACGATTTCAATTTCCAATTCAAATTAGACTTCGAAACACTGCTGCACAATTATTGATAGTGTTCGCGCGCAGTTTCTGTCGTCTCCCACCGCTGATTTCTAATAGCGCTTTAAGATTTAAAATTCTTTTTGTAGACCCTTGTGGTCTCTGCAGTAAGAGTATAACAATAGTGATCAACTTTTAATTTTTCACTTGAAAGAAGCTATACAGAGAAGTCACAATCTGACAGAATATGAGCTGCATTAAAGTTATATTGTTAACATTCATGGGAGTCAATTTTTATCATGCCCCATCGTGCGGAACCTGAAATAATTTGAGTTAGAATTAATGGCTACTTCAGTTTAAGTTCTTGTGAAGGTAGCTTACACTCTGACTGAATGGAAAATTTTTTTTTGTCATAGATATTAGTAACATATAATTTAAGTTATATCAATGGAGAAGTTATTTGCATAATTCTCAGTGGCTCTTAACCATTTATGACATATTGAAGTTTCATGTTCAATATTGTTACTCAAAGGTCAGCAAGACATTAATGTGTCGTTGTCTTTCGATTTATACCTTATTAAATGAATTATGAATTATGAATTATGTGATGCATTTTTAATGAATTTTCTTGGGTCGTGTCAACTTTTATAGTATTTCCATTTGACTCTTTAAACTATATTTTAAACGATAAAAAAAGCGATTTTTGCTACTCAGCAGACAGGTTTTTTAAGTTAAAAAGCTTAACCTTTTTTGAAGAGGCATTCCCTCAGGTTTTAAAGTATAATTATCTGACAGGGTTTTTCCTTTTTAACACATCAGTTAATTAGGTTAGTAGTGTTTCAAAATGATTCACTTCTTTATGGGAAACTAATGTTTCGAACTGTTTACTACTCCTAGATACTTGGTTTCGATTTGAGTTTAAGACATTAAAAATGAATTGTATTTAATTGCTTAATTTCCTCAAAGTAAAGCCAATATTCACTCCTAAACTCAGAGTGGAAATTGCGTTCAATGTTCTCTGTAATTTGTTGTTTAGGATCGAACGCTAACGAGAAGTAGTGTCCCTGTGATAGTTATCACAAAGTGTCCATAAAAAAATCCCCCAAAAAACATATTATAGGGGTAAGCCTGCGAGCAACTCTCCATTTGGGGGAGTCGCGAGAAGTCACGCGAGAGCTGCACGCGAAAGAAGAACGCGAGTGCGAGGGGTGGGGAAAGAAAGGAAGAACTCTCCTTTTCCTTCGCGGGTCGCTTCGTTCGCCATGTATGGAGAGCTTGCTCGCAGACTAGCCTTACCTTATTCCAGACTCACAGAGTGAAACAACTTTCTTCCCATGTTTCTGTCCTCTTCTGCATATGCTTATTAATTGATTGATTTTAATTTTTTTCAGACCCTTTTGTCAAAGTATCCCTCATGTTGGCTGGTAGACAACTGAAGAAGACAAAGACCTCAGTCGCGACCAACACCTTACTTCCGGTCTACAACGAGGCGTTTGTCTTTGATGTACCGATCGACCGTTTGAGTGACGTTAGTTTGCTCGTTCGTGTTCTCGACTCAAGCGCAGGAGAAGCCAGTCGACTTGGTGCGCAAACGATTGGTAAATGCATAGTGGGTCCGGACGCTCATACCAGCATTGGTTTACATCACTGGAACTGTATGATGACAACTCCAAGAAAGCCAATTGCTCAGTGGCATCCGTTAGTGAAAACATGAAGGATCTATTTATCGCCCCATGTAAGGTTATTTGGATTCCAGAATCCGGGAAAATCAAGAATCCTGGGCTTTGGAACCCGAAATTCAGCTCAAGGAATCCCGAATCCCACTAACAATCGATGGAATCCGGAATCCAAATTCCACTCACAAGGAATCTGGAATCCAGTTCCAAATTAGGGTATCAAAGATCCAGGATCCAGGATCTCAGATTACCTTATATGGGGCGATATTTAACACGGCACTCACGAGACGACTTTGTTGCAGCGACAGGTTGTGGGGACAAACCTGTTACCTTTGCGACGGATTGCACAATCAAACCAGTGTAAATTTTTGCGATATGTCACTGGTACATAATTTCGTTGTAAAGAAACTTTTTTCTGATCACATGAAAATCGATAAGCCCTCTGCGATTAATCGGTTTAAACGCGCCCTAAATGTTTGTCGAGGGGCGCTTTCCATTTAGTCAAAATTTCCCGGAATTTCTGGTTCGGCGGTAAATGGAACACGTTTCGTCGGCTCGTCCCACTGGAAAATTCCCAGAAAAAGTGGAAAATCTAAAAAGGTGGTCCCGTTTTCCCGGTTGGAATTTGCGAACGGAATGTCGTGTTCCATTTACATTTCTCGTAGTTTGTACCAGTTCCAGGTCCACGGTCGGGCACCGCGACGTACCGGGGTTTAAGACCAAATGGAACAACTTTTTACCAATCGGAAATTCCACTTTTGCTCCCACCGAAATTTCCGGGTTTTTTCCTAAATGGAAAGCGCCCGAGGTTTACATAGCATGAACACGGAACATACGTGCCATGAGAGTGCGGGAAGGATCCAGTTTCAACGGCGAATGTCGCCGGTTAGCCTGAGAAAACAGCCGACGTTTCGACATTTGGTTTACCCGCGAAATGACGTCTGAGGAACGTTTTCAGAAATTCCATACTGATGACGTGTCACAATGCAGTTCTGGGTAGTGCTTCTGATTGGTTGAAGCAGATTTCCCACCTTGTGCAACAAATCAGAAGCACTACCAACATCTGCGTAGTGACACGTCATCAGCACGGAATTTTTGCATTCGTTCCTCAGACGCCATTTCGCAGGAAAACCAGTAGTGGCGTAGCGAAATGTCGGTTGTTTACGGGTGTTCGTATATTGTAATATAAAACCTCATTTTCTCGGAGCACAGTATGTAACTTAATGAATCAGATGTTGATGTGACTGATATCAGGGGAATTCGCCAAGGGTAATAAAGCATAACCAATTTTAAGCAATGTTTCTCAAAAAAAAAAATTCTTAAAGTTTGAAACCAAGAATTAGGCAATTTTTATTTAGCAGAACGAAAAACTTAACACAAGAGTAGAAGACGTAAGTATCTAAAATTTCCAGCCGGAATATATTAAATGAAAGGACTTGTTTCTATTTGCGCAAACGTCGATTTGTATATGTTTTGGTACTTACTTGTAAATTTTAAAAGGATCATTTTTTGTCTTTATATTCGAGTCTGGTAAGAAAAGTGAGTTTTTCTTTGTTCGCTAAAATTTTTCGAAATAGGTCTTCTTTTGTTTAGCTGCCTGTTAAAGGTTATTTAACGCTGCCTTGGTAGAATTTTTATCTATGTTTAGACAATTTATTTTTCGTATTTCAGCCTGTAATTTACTGTTTTCGGGTAAGTTACGGTTTACATGTATTTTTTTCAAATTCAAAGTACATAAGCCCACGGTCATTTTGACGTAAAAGTACATTTTTTTCACAAACAGATGATAATTTTTTTTGTTTTCTAATGAGTTGTTGAACAAGTCTTCAAGACATGGTCACACAATGATTTTTAAATATTTGGAGATTGTTTGAAACTTTAAATAATAATTATACGTATGTTAAAAAGCTGAAGCCCCTTTTTGGGGTTCAGCAAAGCATATAGTTTTTAATAATGATTTACGTATAGTTTGGTTTTGTCAGTTATACAGTCAGTTCTCTTAAGTCCCTAGAGTGACCAACATCAATCCTCTCCTAACTTTATCCATACATTATTAAGAAAAGCAGTAATGAGAATTAATAAAATGATTGCCAAAATGAAAGTGCTTTGATCTTTTATCAAATTCTCTCAACTAATTCTCTAAGAAAATGTATGGAGTATGGAGAATTTGCATGTGGATATTGGGGCTTTGCCTGAACAATGGTAGCGACAGGAAAGGTGTCCTTTGAAATAAAGTTGACCAAGAGGAGGCTTGAGTTGACTGAAGTTATTTGATCTGACGCCTTTCTCCCACTGCGTTTCCCATGCCTGTGGGCAGACGTAGAGCGCTTTCCATTTGTATGGAAAACCCGGAAATTCCGGGGAGAATTCAAACGGAACGGTTTCATCCCAGTTGGAATTTTCCGGAAAAAAGTAATACCTTTCGAGGTATTACCTTTTTCCTGTTTTTACCGAAACGATCGAAATTTTTGTACCATATTTGTGTGGATTACTAGTGCCGGGTTTCATTTCGAGAGAAAGCGAAAAATTTACCGGTATTTTGGATATGATACAACTCAATCCTGTTCCTATTTTCGGAGCCAAAAAAATACCAGTACTATTTGACGGAAATTTTTCACCGAAATTTCCGTACAAATAGTAAGCGCTTGAATCTAAAACTGGGATAACCTTGTTAAGGAAAAGTTCTGGGTACGAATTTGATCCTGGGAGGAGAGTAACGATTTTCCAAGACGTCCTTTGTCAATCCGAACCTTTTGAAATAAATTCAACCGAGAGTGAATCCAGAATACGTGTGGACAGGCGAATTTGATTTGAATACGCTACGTGTGGACAAGATAATTTTTGAATCCGCAAAGAAAAATTTGCGGATTCAAAAATATTCGGATACGTGTGGAGTGGGCCTTAGCAACGACGACGGCAACGGCAACAAGAACGTCAAAAAAAAAAAAAAAGAAATAGGTTTAATCAGCCAAAGCACACTTTTTTGTTCATTTCTTTGCCGCCACAACGTGAAATTCCCTTTATGGAGGACGTAAACACACATCGACAAATTTTTCTTTCGCACTTGTAAAGTTAGGTTTGGTCTCCAAGAATTCCATTTCACGGAACTTGCATTTGACATCTTAAGCGAGTTGAAAAAATCGCGAAAAACTTTGAAAAAACGCTAAACTTTTTAATAATTTATTTAAGTATTCGCTTCCGTCCGCGGCCGTCCAACCTCGTCCCCAGGGCTTTTCCCTTAAAAAATGGGAGGGGCGGCCATTTTTTAAGGGAAAAGCCCTGGGGACGAGGTTGGCGGCCGTCGTCGTTCAAGTGCTAAAGCTCCCTGTCTTTGCTGTTATCGGCATGTCCTCTAACAGAGGATACGTTTTCTTTTATATTCTACTTCTAATCTTGAAAACAGAGAGTCTTCTTGTCCATTTGTAAGGCAAGCCATATGCTATTCTGTCCCATTATTCTTCGGTTGATTTCTTGGAGAGCGCTTGGAAATCTTAGCAACAGTTCGACGGGTACCACGTTTACACGTCTGTTTTCTTGTTGTCTTCTCAATGTTGAGGATACCCCTGCATGCTTTCGCTTTGCTCTTCTTTTTGATTTCTTTTTCTTGGACGGCTTTTTATCCGTAGAACGTCTCTTTTTTACTGGTATAGTTTTGCGGGGACGTTCAGCAGGCATTGATGATCCCGTCATATTTAAGTCCTGGAGAAATAAACAAATAATAAAGACGTGCTCTGTATAGAATGCTCCAGAGGTTTCTTTTACCTTATGGTCCTGTTTTGTCTCGAAAGCGTGAACACCGTCACGACCAGGTACCACAAACAATTCTGAAAAAACTTCTTTACTGAACATATAGTTCAACTCACTTGCCATTTAGATGGTTAAAAATTAAGGGGATATCTTGCGTTACCCCGGTTGTCAATGGATTCTTTTTTACCTCCCTTCCAATGAGAATATTTTGATAAAAACTGAACTCTCTCGAACTCGTGACAAGGTGTTTTCTACAGCCAGAAGCATATAACACTTTCAGGGCTATATGCTTCTGCTACAGCCTAGTATTCTCATTCGATTCAGGACAGGTGTCGGCGAAACTGAAAAAAATCAAGACCGACTAAGGGCCTGTTTACATGGAGGTGGGGGACGCCAGATAGCTGAGGTAACATGTGACGGGTCACCCCACCTATCATTGTAAACGTGTTCAAATTAAAATGAGAGATTATATGGACAGGCGGGTTACGCCACCTAAGAGGTCACCTCACCAACCTGGGGTCCCCTAGCTCCATGTAAACAGGCCCTAAGAAAATTCTTGCAAAACGTTTTACCAATTAAACCACACCATTAGGCCATTTTTGATTTGCATTCGCTTCCTTTACCAAAACGAGGCCACGTGCAAATATCTCCCACATGGCCTCGACTTAGAACAGAGATAAGCTACGCAGGCAGCGTTATCGCGCGCGGGAAGATCACGGAGCGTGCATCCTCTCACGTGGCTGATCAGGGACAAACTAAGTGTTCATTTATGACCAGTTCTTGGTCAGCTTGGTACCGCACTTGATTACCAAACTGAAATTAAAATTTAAAAGAATAAAAATGCCATGACTCTCCACTGCCAGGTAAAATTTTCTAGTTTATTTTCTCTTTTTTGTATCACGTGTCCAGTAAGGAGAATTAATTGTAAAAAAAAAATAGCATGTACCTTTAATTCTTTGGGGGATGTAAGTGGCTGTTTCGCGTTTTCACTTGATTCCAATTTTCTCTTTCTTGTTTCCAGACGAGAATATAATTCCGCTCGATATTCTACGATAAGAGACATCGTATTATATTATGTTTTATTCGCACGAACTGCTTTTTGTTTTCATCGAAAGATAATTAAGTCAAGGAGAAACGTGCGATAAATAATTTGAATATTATAATGCCCTCTCATGCAATATGACAGAACCTGCTGACATAACCTCTCACACTTAGATGGCAGACAAAGCAATTAAAATGGCAACTATAGATCTCAAAAACTTTCTTTCAAACAAACCATAGTTGACAAGCCAAGGATAGAAGGATTTGAAAGTCGGGCCTAGCAGTTATGAATTTCATAGTTGACAATCAACTTCTCAGCACCACTGTTTAAACAACCCGTTCTCTACAGTGACAAAGCCTCAAATTTCTCCAGAGTTCTCCGTTTGTGTTTTTTTGTTTAAGCTTTTGTTTGTTTTTACCTGAGAATCGTTTTCCATCGATGTTGCGGCTGACATCTTCGAGCACGTGGCCGCATACACATGTCCGCGTTGAATCAGTGATCTGCAAATAACATAGGCTGCACTGGTCACTGGCAATATCGTCCGTGCTCGTTGCAGATGATCGAGGGATGATGCTGGAGCAGCCCAATTTAGTTGATGTGGAAGTGAATTTTAGGTTGCGTTACAGATGATACTGAGGACATGAGGGCTGAAGTTTAAAGATGGACGCTCAAATTTTCCACTACATGTATCTAAACG